CATATGTCTTTTCCCACCCAAACACGGTCATACTAGCAAACACAGTCAATGCCGAATTGCAGAAAATATCTGCCTGGATGATTACTAATAAACTTACCCTGAATACTGATAAAACCTAATTCATTCAGTTTGGAAACAAAGCGGCAAATGATTTGATTAACATAACCCTAAATGGATCATCAGTCACTAGACTCACAGAGGGAAAATTCCTAGGTATCCACCTTGACAGTAGCCTTAAGTTCCAGACACACACACAACAAATCACCAAGAAAATCTCCAAGACTGTAGGCATACTATCAATGATAAGGTACTATGTTGCACAATCAGCTCTCCTGGCACTGTACCATACACTCATATACCCTTATCTTACATACGGAATTTGTGCATGGGGATCAACAACATCCAATCACCTAAAACCCCCTCATAACCCAGCAAAAGGCAGCAGTAAGAATGATAATGAATTCCCACTCCCGCCAGCACACTCCTCCAATTTTCTAAAGTCTGAATCTGCTCACCATTAAGAACATCCTACTTATTCACGTGCCTACTACACACACACAACAATACACGCAAATATAAACCCTCCACTCAAACTTCTCCTCACCAACTTAAACAGGACACATGACCACAACACAAGACACAGATCTCTTTTTGATATACCTCGTGTCCTTATCACACTGTGTAAAAACTATGCACATAAAGGGCCCTAAAATATGGAATTCATTACCAGAAGATATTAAAGTAACCCAATCTGAAAATCAGTTTAAGACTTCTCAAAAGCCACTTAATAACCCTAGACTAAACACTAAATACTCAGTACACACATTCACCTATGTACTCCCACATCATAACCTCAACAATCACTTTGAACCTTTTATCCATTTTGACAGGAATATAATTGAACCATTGTTTTCCACAAAAAGCATTTTAGACTATATGACTATATCCTTTGTTTTATACAAATTTATTTCACTTGTAATTAATAATCTACTATTCAACTATGAAATGATTATTGTCCTACTGTACAACTATGATAAAATCCTTAGTGTTAAGTAGTCTATAAGCCAATAATGTAAGTTTGCCCATAATGCCTAGGCATAATAGAGGCACTCTTTGCATTGCAACCCACTATTGTAAATATAAAATCTCAACGTACTGTTGGCAAAAACATAAAATAAGTAAGTAAATAAATAACTAAGTGGGCCATTGGTCTAAGCCGGGGGGGAATGGGTGACACGGACCTGCCTTGCATCGGCCAGTAGGCCTGCTGCAGTGTTCCTTCTTTCTTATGTTCTTATGTATTTGGCTGGCTGGCTTTGACTGTCTGTCTATATCTCTATGTCTATATCTCTGTCTGACTATCTCTGTCTGTCTATATATCTCTGTCTATCTGACTATCTCTGTCTATATCTACATCTCTTTCTGTCTGTATCACTATCTGTATCTCTGTCTATATCTCTCACATGTACTCATAAATAGTTATTATACATCATGTAAATTACCTAGGATAACCCAAAAATTCCAGGCCAAGTGCTATACAGTGTTTGTAGATATAAGACATAAATAAACATGACAAGTAATAGCAGTGTCACTTGCTCAGCAATTGGGGAGCGGCCCATACACCACAAAGCAACAGGTTTACCAGCTGCTCCCTTAGACAGAGACAAGCAAATGGAAAGAGACACACAGGCAGATAGAAAGACAGACAAGCAGAACTAGACAGACAAACAGAGCCAGACAGACAAGCAGACAGACACAGACATACAGAGATGTGTTTGTGTGCAAGAGTAAAAACAAATAAAGGCAAGGTTCCCCCCTCCAGCAGTGCACATTCATCAAATGTCACTTGTTATCTGACGTGTATCATAGCACCATTCTTCAAGGAGTTTCATATTATACTCCAGGCACACACAGAAGACAGACATAAGCTGAACTAGACAGACAGATAAGCAGAACTAGGCAGGCAGACAGAGATATATGTACAGATACACAGATAGATGTACAGATAGAGACAGATACAGGCAGACAGACTGACAGAGACAGACAGACAATGTTTGTGTGCAAGAGTAAAAACATATGAAGGTAAGGTTCCCTGCAGCAGCTAATATTCATCAAATGTCACTGGCTGTCACTTATCTGACCTTTGTCATAACACCTTCTTCAAGGAGTTTCATACTCCAGTGTGTCTAAAACATTGCTGGGACCTATAAATATTTTGTATATATTTCTAGACAATAGTCAATGACCAAGGCAGGAGAAAATGTTCACCTGTCAGTGTGACTGTTACTATTTGAGTACTATTTCAGTACATAGTGTCAGAACAAAGATTGGCTATGAAATCACAGAACTTTATTTTTCCCTTTTTCTGTACCTGTTTTTTTTCCCCCCATTGAATTTTTTTTTTTTTTTTGGGGGGTTCCATTGACCTTTTTTTTTTTACAAAAAAAGTTAAAAAAAAAAAATTTAGTAAAAAAATTGGGGAAGGGGTTTATAATTTTTTTGGGATAAAAAAAAAAAAAGGGGAAAAGGGCAGGATGTACAAATTTGGGGGGGAAAAAAGAAATTTTTCCCACCCCCAAAAGAAAAAGAAAAGGGGAAAAAAAAAGGGGGAAAACAAAGGGGCCCCCCCAAAAAACCAGAAAAAGGCGACAGGGAAAACCCAGCTAAAGTTTTTTTTGGGGAAAAGAGAAAAAAAATGGAAGGGTTTCCCCCAAATTTTCAAGCCTTGAAAAGTGTAATGACCTTTTTAAAGGGCAAAACCCCAGACCAAAAAAACCCTAAGTAAAGAAGCGAAAAGGCCTAGGAGGGGAAAATTTTGCCAAAAAAGTTAAATTAAGAAAAAAACGGAAAGGATGCGGAAGAAGAAAATGTTTTTTTAAAAAACCTTAAAGGTAAGGCCCCCTAGAAATTCAAAAGCAGGGAATTTTAAAAGGGTCATCCCTTTTTTTAAGGAGTTTTATTTCGTTGTAAAAATTCGGGGACCATTTTTTGAATTTTTGAAATTCTCCAAACGGGAAAATGCATTTTTTTTTAAAAAAATATTTAGTACTTTTTTAAAGTGTCAGAACAAAGTTTGGGCTATGAAATCCAAAAAATTTAAATTTTAAATTTCACAACATAAAAATTATATAAATTAAAGTAAAAAAAAGAAAAAAAGAATCGGCAACACTTCTGCAACCGCGGACTGGGTGTTGCCGCAGGGGCTCCCGAGCCAACTTTTGTAGTCTTATACTGGGAAGTACTGATCCTAAAAAAAAATTTTTTTTTTTTTTCTTATCCACAGAAAATTGCCCTTAATTTAAAAAAAAAAAAGGGTTTTTACTTTTCAAAATACTATTTGGAGAGCTTTCAGGTGAATGCAGATCTATGTTTTGGGCAGTTTAAGGTTTAAATTTTACTATAGGAAGGGGAAACAATAAAGTAAAAGCAGAGTAACTACCTAGTATAAGAAGGGACAGCAATAAAAACGGGGGGAGTTAACAATACTGTGTAAAAAAAATAAAAACCAAAAATGCCCGCATTTTATGTTAATAGTAAAAAACTTAGGATTTAAAATTTTAAACTGCAAATCTATAAAGCACTCAAAATATTATTCCCAAAAGAACATGAAAAAAGCCAAAAATAAGGTAAAATTTTATCAATATATTGGGTACCCATAAGACGGAAAAAAAAACACAACTAAAAAATTTCCCGTGTTTAATGGGGTAATTTTGAAGTGAGCTATTACTGAAGGACTTGGCAAGATACCAAAACAAACCCTAACACTAGATTTAGTATTAAAAAAAAGATAGAAACCCAATATAATTATTTGAAACCCACTTTGTAAGAGCAATCATTTTTCTTTTAAAAAGGCAATAAAAGTTAGAAGTATGAATTGGCAAAGGAAAAAAAAACAAAAAAACCAAAGAAACAAATTTAAAAAAAAAAAAAATTTCCTCAAACCACATATTTAAAAGATGAACTTTATGACAATGTCAACCCTCCTTTACCCATTCAAGTCACTAATTAATAAATGACAACATCCCGATGGAAAAAAATGTTTCATATTCCTCTAAGTGCGATTTTGGTACAGTGGGCCCGTTTTTTGTAAGCATCGGAAGTTGTAATTTTTGAAAAATCTTTTACTTTTTTTTTTTATCAAAATATTACTCGCAAATAGTCATTTGCCCAGACCTACACAGGCATCGACAGCCCCAAAAAAACCCCTTTACAGCCATGTGCCCTTGTTTTTTCAGTGGGGGGTGAGGATGATCAAGTGTTATACGAAAATTTCTAATGTTCCCTTCGTTGTATGCTTACAACGCAAATAGCCACCATGGCCCCCAAAAAAAGCTCCTAGTGTCAGGCCTTTGGTAAAGGTGAGAAACACTAAAGAATTCAAAAAAGAACTCGAAGCAAAGTACCAAAGTGGAGGAGGAAGAGAGAGGAGAATGTACCTTCTTAAGTGATTCAGTGATTCTACGATATGTACAACACTAAAGCACCACAAGCCGATAAAGGCTATAGTGCCAGCCAACAATAAAGTGTAGAATTAACAGTGTAGCAAGTAAGTTAAGTGATTAATCGATACAAAAAGGGTAGGATGAACCTAACTCCTCCAATGTTGTTGGAGTTATATAGGGCTATTGAGAACACCATTGCCTCCACCACCACTATGTACAGCTTATGTTCTCATTGGATCTTATACACCCAACAACAAAACACCACCACTCGTGACATACCTAATGACATTTTTTATTCATTCTGGAGTATATGTCATGTTTCTATGTTATTAATATTGTTTATTATGTCATATTAGATGAATTGTGATAGATAAATAAGCTGTAGATTGATATTATTGTCATATTGAAGGACTATCTTGTCCTGCCTCCAAACACACTCCCTTGCCGCCGCCACAATTCATAACATACGTAATGACATATTTTATTCATACACCAACCAGTCTTTTCAATAAAGGTAAGTGTGATGTTATTAAACCATACCATGGGCGGGGATAGAACCCACGATCAGAGAGTCTCAAAACTCAAGACCGTCATGTTAGCCACTGGGTCAGCTAGCCACAACAAGATTCATACAACTAGGTATATTTCTACACCACAGGAAGGGTAGCATAGGCACCACTGTGACCACAATTGCAAGTTTTTACAGACGAATCTCCAGCTAGTGTGGGCGTGATGAACTCTAGCTCAAGTCCCCTCAAAGCTGCATGTGGTATGGTTTGTTTGCAATCAGTTTATTCTCAATAAGGATTACAATGCGGGGTTTACAGATTTTGGTTCTTGTGTGGTTTACACGTAATAAAATACTAATTACAGAGGGGGCCACTAGAACACCTAGCAAGGCATTTCGGGCAAACTTAGGTTAATTCTTAACCTTAAATTCTTAAAAATTGTGGAGTAAGTTGACGAAATACTAAGTGATTAAATACTAAATGTTAAATACTAGTTTGTGAGTTTAGCAATGTGAATGCTTTTGTTATGGCACAATACATAGTTTCTATATTGGAGTATCACAGGCAAACTTGTGACTAGTTAGGAATCATTGTTTTAAGATTAAGATACATATTTCTGTGCTTATAGTCAAATGGGCGAGTGAGTAAGTGTGAACCACCAGGTGGTTTTTATGTAGTTAGTTGACAGGGTGTATCAGGGAGATAAGATGTTTTCTAACGGTAGTTTTGAAGGTGATGAATGTGTCTGCATTTCTAGAGTTTTCAGGTAGGGTGTTCCAGATTTTAGGGCCTTTGACATGCATTGAATTTTTGTAAAGGTTTAGTCAGACACGGGGATGTCATAGAGATGTTTGTGTCTGGTGTTATGCTTGTGGGTCCTGTCATATCAAGAAAGCCTTTTAGGTCAAGGTTAATATTAGAATTTAAGGTCCTGTATATGTAGACTGCACAGTAGTAAGTGTGGATGTTCTGAACAGGGAGTAAGTTCAGATCTATGAAGAGTGGGGGGGGGGGGTGTTGCCAGGGATGGGATTTAGTGATTATTCTTACTGTGGCTTTTTGTTGAGTTATTATTGGCTTTAGGTGTACTGCTGCAGTTGATCCCCAAGCACAAATAGCATAGGTGAGGTATGGATAAATGAGTGAATGTTATAGTGTGAGAAGGGCATTTTGTGGCACAAAGTATCGTATCTTGGAGAGGATCCCAACTGTTTTGGATACTTTTTTTTGAAATGTGTTGGATATGGGTGCTGAAATTCAGGTTGTTATCGTGGCATAGGCCTAGGAATTTGCCCTCATTATGTCTGGCAATTAGAGTGTTGTCGATCTTAATGTTAAGTTGTGCAACACCTGCTCTGCTACAAACCATAATATAGTAGATTTTGTCAGTGTTAAGTGTAAGTTTATTGGCTGTCATCCAAGTTGATAATTTGAGCAGCTCCTCATTAACAATGGTGTTGAGGGTGGCAAGATTAGGGTTAGAGATGACATAAGTCGTGTCGTCAGCAGAGAGAATGGGTTTCAGGTGTTGGGATATGTTTGGAAGATCACTTATGTAAATGAGGAAGAGCAGGGGTCCAAGGACACTTCCCTGTGGAACTTCAGTATCAAGTGGCCGTGTTGATGATGCTGTGTCTTTAATGGTGACATAATGATACCTATTAGTAAGGTAGGATTTGAAATATGCAAGCGCATGGCCTCTTATACCATAATGGTCAAGTTTGTGGAATAGGATGCCGTGGTTTACTGTGTCAAAAGCTTTTCTTAGGTCAATAAAAATTCCTAGCAGATATTCCTCATTTTCCAATGCTGTGTAATGCACATCTAGCATTTTTACAATTGCATCATTAGTGCTTTTATTTTTCCTGAATCCAAATTGGCAGGGGTTGAGTATGTTTTGTGCAATCATGTCATTATGATTTCCTGAGTCAGTTGTGATGTTACTTGTATTATTCTTCATGTTTCATTGTTTTCTGTGCATATAAATCTATATTTCATGTAAAAAAAAATATTTTTTGTTAATACTTTTGGTCTGAAACGGATTAATTGGATTTACATTATTTATTATGGGGAAAATGGTTTCGCAAATCGTCAATTTTGCCATTAGTCACTCTCTTGAACGAATTATTATGAAGAAGAGGGTCCACTGTATACAGTGGATGCTCGGCTAACGAACGCATCGCATAACATTAAATCCACCCAACGAAGGGCTTGAGCGTAAAAAATTTGGCCTGGCTAACGATAAAAAATTCACCCAACGCGATTCGTCCTGAACCTATCTGTCCAGCCTGAGCACCTCAGCTGCCTTGCCATGATTGCTAGCAAGCCAGGGTGGCCAGTTTCATGCATACATTTGATACATTTTGTATTATTCCATTGTTTATAGTACTTGTAACTGCTAAATAAGCTACCATGGGCCCAAAGAAAGCTTCTATTACAATCTCTGTGGTACAAAAAGGTGAGAAATACTATCGAAATACTATCGTACCACGGTCAGCTGCTGCTGCACCAACACCAGCTGTACTAGTCAAAGATGTGGAGAGACTGTTGTTGTTATTCTTCTTTCAACAAACCGGATGTATCCCACCGAAGGAGGGTGGCCCAAAAAGAAAAACGAAAGTTTCTCTTTTTAAATTTAGTAATTTATACAGGAGAAGGAGTTACAAGCCCCTTGCTCCTGGCATTTTAGTCACCTCTTACAACACGCATAGTTTACGGAAGAAAAATTCTGTTCCACTTCCCCATGGAGATAAAAGGAAATAAACAAGAACATGAAGGGGCTTGGACTTCCAGCGGGCATGCATGAGCATGTTTGATAGGTGTGAATGGAGACAAATGGTTTTTAATACTTGATGTGCTGTTGGAGTGTGAGCAAAGTAACATTTATGAAAGGATTCAGCAAAACCGGCAGGGCGGACTTGAGTCCTGGAGATGGGAAGTACAGTGCCTGCACTCTGAAGGATAGGTGTTAATGTTGCAGTTTAAAAACTGTAGTGTAAAGCACCCTTCTGGCAAGACAGTGATGGAGTGAATGATGGTGGAAGTTTTTCTTTTTCGGGCCACCCTGCCTTGGTGGGAATCGGCCAGTGTGCTAATAATAAAAAAAAAATATGAACTAGTAAGAAAATAGAAGAAAACCAACAGGGGTGTGTATATATATGCTTGTACATGTATGTGTAGTGGGACCTAAGTGTAAGTAGAAGTAGCAAGACGTACCTGAAACCTTGCATGTTTATAAGACAGAAAAATGGACACCAGCAATCCTACCATCATGTAAAACAATTACAGGCTTTCATTTGAACTCACTTGGCAGGACGGTAGTACCTCCCTGGGTGGCTGCTGTCTACCAACCTACTACCTAGAAGAGACTGTTATTGGTGTGGCTTAATTAACAAGAAACAATTACCGAGAAACAATTAACCCCAGAGGGTTAGCCACCCAGGATAACCCAAGAAAGTCAGTGAGTCATTGAGGACTGTAACTTATTTCCATTGGGGTCCTTAATCTTGTCCCCCAGGATGCGACCCACACCAGTCGACTAACACTCAGGTGAACAGGAAAAAATGCCTGGAACTAATGCTCATATTGGGAATTTAAGGCCAGTAAAAGGTTGGTTTGAAGATTTTAAGAACCGTAAGTGCATAACAGTGTATAAGGAATGCTGAAAGCTGAAAAATTCCAACCCCAACATATGTTCAATTGTGACGAAACGGCTAGTTCTGGAAGAAAATGACAAACAGGACCTACATTACTCAGGAGAAAAAAGGCACTCCCAGGACACAAGTAGAAAGACAGCTAACTTCCTGTTTTCTTGTAATGTTAGTGGGGATTGCAAATGAAGCCTTTACTCATTATCAACTCAACTCCCAGGAGTTCAAGAAAAAGTGTCATCACTCTCAGTACATTCAATAAAGCTAAGTGTCATTTTAACATTTATTTATATATTTTTGCATGTCTCATTGATTATTTGTAGAAATGTATATTTCATCTAAAAAAAAAAAAAAATTTATACTTTTGGCTTTCAACCGGATTAAACTATGTTTCATTCTCTAAGTGAATTTTGGTACGTGGACCTCTTTTTTGTAAGCATCGGAAGTTGTAATTTTGAAAATCTTTACTTTTTTTTTTAACAAAATTGCAGGTTACTGAAAGTATTATCCAGAAAGTTGAGTTGGTTTGGAGATTTAGAGAGGATGGAGTAAAATAAAATAACTTGAAGGGTATAAATGTGCAGTGGAGGGAAGGTGGGGGGGGGGGGGGGTCACCCTATAACAGATTAGAGGGAGGGGGTAAAGGAGGTTTTGTGTGTTGGGGTTTAGACATCCAGCAAGCACGTGTGTGTGTGTGTGTTAGATAGAAGTGAGTGGAGGTAAGTAGTCATGACTTGACGTGCTGTTGGAGTGTGAGCAAGGTAATATATATAAAGGGATTCAGTTAGCTGGACTTGGGTCCTGGAGGTGGAAAGTATAGAGCCTGCACTCTGAAGGAGAGGAGAAGATACTGCAGTTTGGAGGGGCATTTGTACTGTAGTACTGACACACCTCTGACAAGACAGTGACAGTGTGAATAATGGTGAAAGTGTTTCTTCTTTTTCAGGTTTCCCTGCCTCAGTGGAAGACAGCTGCCAAGTTAAAAAAGTACAGTATAAACTTGGGAAGTATTAAATTATATTTTATTCTTTAAACAAGTAAGGTATGGATAAATGAGGTAAATTCTTCTAGTAATTTCCAATTTATCTTTCCTCCAATACATAGAGAATCTTCATCTTCACTGACCAGAGTTCAGTTTAAAATTTACAAAAACAAAATTTGAAGTTTCATTATATAGTACAGTAGTTATATTAAACCTCATGCAGTCATAAAACATATAATTAGTAATATCATTAAAAAACTGCAAGAGCTAGCATAAATAAAATTTTGAAAGAGCAGAGTATAAGGCAGCTTCTCCTTAAGAGTAAATCCTTCACATTTTACTGTACACAGTATTACTAAATCTGCTCTACTAAGTGCTCTTACCTCTTCTACAGAATATACAGCAGCTGAGGGAGCAACTCTCTCACCAACTGAAGCAACTACCTCAGCAAACATCTTCCTATCTTCACTTTGCACAATTGATGCCACAGGAGTACCAAGAACACGAACTCCATACTTGGCCCACACACCAGCCCGCTCAAGTTCCACACCACAGTTAAGGGCAGTCTGGCCTCCAAATGTCAGGAGGACACCATCTGGACGTTCTGATTTGATTACCTAAGACGAGGAAGAGTTGCTGTTAACAAACCTTTCTAATTAGTAAAAGATATATAAATGAAACATTTTTTAAATACAGCCTCTCCTCATTTAGGGATGTAGTACTCGTTTACCAACGACTCGGACTGATGATGGGCTCTCTGACCAGTATGCATACCTAAATAATGTATATTAGAGCTGATTTCCTAAATTCTTTTTAACCCTTTCAGGGTCCGTCCCAAAGATCTACGGCTTTACGTTCAGGGTCCAAACCATAGATCTACGCCAAAATTCTAGCGCTGTCAAATTTAGCACGAGAAGGCTGGTGGTGAAAGTTTTTCTTTTTCGGGCCACCCTGCCTTGGTGGGAATCGGCCAGTGTGATAATAAAAAATAATAATAAAAAAATAAAAAAGGCTGGTAGGCCTACATCTAAGAGAATGGGTCTGGGTGGTCAGTGTACATACCATAGAAAAAATCTGGACGCCCGCATGGCATTGTTCATAGTGTCTGGTGGCAAGGAAGCTCTCACTCCCCACTCACTCTCCGGGCGAATTCTGACTCCTCTTCACAACTTACAGTTCTAAGACTAATGGAAATGGAGCTGAAGACGAATTCTATGGTTTTGAACCATATGGTACCATTGTGCCATATGGTACAATGATACCATATGGTACAATGGTGCCGTGTCATACAATATGATACAATGGTACCATATGGTACAATGGTACCATATGGTACAATGGTACCATATGGTACATTATACCATATGGTACAGGGTACAGGGACCCTAATGGAAATGAATCTGACTTTTTTGGGTTATCCTAGGTTCTCCAAACTTATGCTGCTAAGTATGATATTCTATGTAACTTTATTTGTGTATAACTAAATAAACTTACTTATGATGCCACATGCACTTGAGTAAGTTTATTCAGGTGTACAGAAATACAATTACATAGATTATCATACATAGCAGCATATGTATAAAATCCTAGGATAACCCAAAAAAGTCAGGGGGACTTATTTCCATAGTTATCCCTGTATCTGTACCATATGGTGTCCTGTACTGTATGGTACCCTGTGCCATATGGTACCCTGTGCCATATGTTATCCTGTACTGCATGGTACCCTATACCATATAGTACAATGTACCATATGGTACCCTGTAACATATGATACCGTGTACCATATGGTCAATAGGTGTTGGTGGCATGAGACACCAGCCAAGACTGAGTGAGTGGCGACACAAGCTAGCTACTGACTCGGCAGTTTCCCAGACAAAGTGCTTTGTCATCCACCTCAAGGAACACGTCAAGTTCCTGTACACTTTTATTTATTTATTTATTTATTTAGTAATTTTAGCATACATACAGAGGTACAAAAAAATACAGGTAAGAGCAGCATGCCAAAGCCACTTATATGCATAGCATTACGGGCTGGCTTAAAATTAACTTAAGATTAACTAAGCAATGATGAAATCAGTGATAAAACATTATTGTAAACATATAACTATAAAGCACAAATGAGTATTACAAAGACAGGTCATATGGTTGCATGCATTGCTGTACATTCAGTCGAATGGAGTATTCTGTTAGGTAGTGTATTTAAAAAAAATAATAAAGTTAGATTGGGTCCTAGGTTTAACATTTATGTGATATAATTGTGAGTAACATTTAGGATATACAATTTATAAGGTTCAGTTATTCAGTATTTATTTGGTTTTGAGTGAGTAAGTGATCTTTGAGAAGAGACTTGAATTTATAAACAGGTAGTGTTTCTTTTATATTTACAGGTAATGAATTCCAGATTTTAGGGCCTTTTATGTGCATTGAGTTTTTGCATAGCGTGAGATGGACACGAGGAACATCAAAGAGTGATCTGTGCCTTGTGTTATGGTCATGTGTTCTGTTGAGGTTGGCAAGGAGATGTTTGAGGGGAGGGTTAATATCAGAGTTAAGTGTTCTATGTAATAGGTGCAGTAAATATATAGTAGAACATTACTAATATACAACATTTTTACAATAATTTTTTACAACAAAAATATGCAAACAAAATAATACTGAAAATATTAGTGTGTTTATTGTGTTGAATACCACAGTACCATATAGTACCATATGGTACTATGTACCATATGGTACCATTGCATCATATGGTACCATATGGTACCATTACACCATATGGTACCATACATTCATGCACCATATGGTACCATTGTATCATTGGGCATACCATATGGTACATACCATATGGTAATTGCCATTGTGCATATTTACCATATGGTACCATTGTAATCATATGGTACCACTTATCATATGGTACCATTGTATCATGTGCCATTGTGCCATATTGTACCATATGGTACCATTGTATCATGTGGTGCCATTGTACCATATGGTACAATTACCATATGGTACAATTGCCATTGTGCCATATTGTACCATATGGTACCATTGTATCATGTGGTGCCATTGTACCATATGGTACAATTACACCCTATGGACCATTGTACCATATGTACCATTGGTACTATCATGGTACCATTGTATTCAACACAATAACTACATATATTTTCATCATTTTGTTTACAAAAACTTGTAAACAAGTTTTGTAATCAATATAATGATAAACAAATTAGTGAAGTTATTGCGTGGAATACAATGAGTGTACACTTATACAATATACATTATACTGGTCTCACAGGCCACAAAATGTTATTATAAAAAGAAAAAAATTAGAAAGAAAAGAAAAAAGTATAAAAAACGTAAAATAAAAAACTAGGGATTTTGCGGAAGTCACTGATGTTGCCGCCACCCGGTCATTTTGGGTCAACTTCCCGCCGCTGTATCTCGGTAAGTACTGATCAGAACATTTTTTTTTTGTCTTATTACCTTCACAAAAATATAATCTAATTCTGTAAGAAAAAATAATTTTTTTTTTTTCAAAATTTCTTGGACACTGGAGCACCACTTCAGATTTTGGCCTTGGACCCTGAAGGGGTTAATACAATATACAGTACACTGCTGTATAAACATTTAAAAATATACCTGAAATGTTATACAGTGGACCCTCGAATTTCATAACTAATCCGTTCCAGATAGTCTGACAAAAGGCATAATTTATGAATGGCATAACCATTTTCCCCCATAAGAAAAAATGTAAATCCAATTAATTCATTCCAAACACCCAAAAGTATTAACAAAAAATATTTTTTTTTTACATTAAACATAGATTTACATACAGAAAACAATGAGACATCAAGTAAAACAACAACATCACACTTACCTTTATTGAAGACACTTGTTGGTGTATGGAAGAAGAGAGGAGGGGAGAGGATGGAGATGTTACACTACTGTTTGGAAGGGGAATCCCCTTCCATAAAAACTGTAGGTACCAAGTCCTTAATCCAGGATTACTTCCCATCTTTGGTTTTTAATGTCACTAGGACCAGCTTGAGAGTCACTGGACCCCTGTTGCTCAAAAAATTGTTCCAGAGAGCTCTATTTTTGGCATCTCTTTATAATTTGCCTAAAATAGGACAAGACCTTGTCATTGTACATGTTGCCAACAGCCTGCAACAGCTTTGTCAGGGTGATGTTCCTCCACAAACGTTTGCACCTCCACTTTGCACGAATGTCCTTAATCTTTGAAGAAGGCACCTTCTTCCCTCTCTCTTCCTCCTCTGCAGCAACTTCCTGAGCTGTGGTCTGTTGCTATTGCAGATGAAGGTCTTGCAATTCTTCAGTGGTTAGCTCTTCACTGTGGTCCTCCACCAACTCTTCCACATCCTGGCCAGTCACATCCAACCCCATGGAATTCCCCAGTGCCACAACAGTTTCCACAACTGGCATAGGGCTGTCAGGGTCAGCCTCAAACCCTTCAAAATCTTTGTCAAGGACAAAATCTGGCCACAATTTTCTCCAAGCAGAGTTCAAAGTCCTGGTAGTCACTCCCTGCCAAGCCTTATCCATAAGGCCTGTGCAATGGAGGATAGTGAAGTGATCTTTCCAGAACACTCTTAGGGTCAACTGAGTGTCTGAGGTTACATCAAAGCACCTTTGAAACATTGCCTTGGTGTAGAGTTTTTTTGAAGCTTGAAATGATCTGCTGGTCCATGGGCTGGATGATAGTAGTAGTATTAGGGGGGCAAGAACTTCACTGTGATGAAACTAAACTCCTCCACCATTTGGTCATCCAAGTCTGGAGGATGAGCAGGTTTATTGTCCATTACCATGAGGCCCTTGAGTGGCAATATATTTTCCAGGAGGTATTTCTTCACACTCAGGCCAAACACTTCATTGAACCAATAGAGGAAAATTTCCCTCGTGGCCCATGCCTTAACTGTTAGCTTTCCACATCACACACAATTTACTCTTGGCAACACTGTTTCTTGAACACACTGGGATTTTCAGAGTGATACACCAGTAAAGGCTTCACTCTGAAATCCCCAGTAGCATTACCACAGAACATGAGAGTGAGCCCGTCTTTCATAAGCTTGTGTCCTGGCAGTGCCGTTTCCTCCTGCGTGATGCAGGTCCTCTTTGGCGTTTTCTTCCAAAAGAGGCCTGTTTTGTCACAAATGAACACTTTTTGGGAGACGAATCCTCAGCCTCCACATAGTCCTTGAATTCCTGCATGAATTTTTCAGCCACACATTTGTAGAACTTGCAGCCTCACCAAGCTTTACCACAGTGTATGCAACTATGCTTCTTAAATCTCTCAAACCAGCCTTTGCTGGCCTTAAATTCACTAACATCAGCACTCGTTCCAGGCATTTTCTTTACGAGATCAGCAAGCAACTACCTTGCCTTTTCACAAATTATCAACTGCACAACACTATCTCCTGTTTTTCGTTGATCCACACCAACAAATTCTCAGCATCAAGTATTTGCAATCTCTCTTTTGTGAGCATATCTTCCCCTTTCGCAACAACAGCTTCCTTGATTTCCTTTTCCTTCACCACGATGGAAGCGATGCCTGTATGAGGCTTCCCATACATCCTGGTATGATGGGCCACATGCACGCCACTTT